CCACCTTTACATTTCTTAGATCCTCTGTAACCTGCAGGTAGCTGGGGTTTTCCTTTAACCTGTCAATTTGTTTTCTTTTAATTGCAGCAGCTCATCTATTTTCATTTGTTATAATGAATAATGTATTTGAAACCCCCCCATTTCACTCAGAAAAATACGGGGCTCCTCTCCCCTTTCCTTCCATTTCTCTTTTCTGACATTTTTTGGATTGATGTTTAGTATTCTATTTTCCCATCAATTACATTAGAACTTAATCATAGAACTCCGTCTCTTTTTTTTTTTTTTTAAGAAAGACTTCTTTTAGGGGCGCCTGGGTGGCTTAGTCGGTTAAGCGTCCGACTTTCGCTCAGGTCATGATCTCGCGGTTCGTGGGTTCGAGCCCCGCATCGGGCTCTGTGCTGACTGCCAGCTCAGAGCCTGGAGCCTGTTTCAGTCTGTGACTCCCTCTCTCTCTGACCCTCCTCTGCTCACGTGCTCTCTCTCTCTCTCTCCTAGAAATAAATAAAAAATATTAAAAAAAAAAAAAAAAAGAAAGACTTCTTTTAAAATTATTTTTTTGAGAGAGTGCAAGTGAGTGAGGGGCAGAGAGAGAGGGAGAGAGAGTGTGGAGCTGGACGTGGGGCTCAAACCCACAAACTGAGATCATGACCTGAGCCGAAATCAGATGCTTGACTGACTGAGCCACCAAGGCGCCCGAAGAAAGATCATTTTTTTTTTGAAAATTCACACTGGTAATAGAGGAAAAGGACAAATTATATTTTTAAGGCATTAAAAAACATTGCCTAAATTTGCGGATTAGAAGAGGTGAAAATATACAAACAGGAAATGCCCAGGATGTGGACGAGTTTAGCTACGCCTTTGGACAGAGCTGGCCATTAAGTTATCCGGCTACAGCCTCATGCCTTCATCTCCACTCACATTAGAGCCCATGAAAATCCCAGGGGAAAGTAACTGGCTGTTACTACGACAGGTATCTTTTTCTCCATTTAGTACAAGGTCCGACTCTACGTAGACTTCAGGTAACTCACATTAAGATTTACTTTATGAACTGAAATACCATCTACCTTGGTGAGTGCTCCATGTGCCCATCACTGTGGCCTTGGGGGATTTTCCAGAATCTTCTGACAGGGATCTTTGTCTTATCCAAGTAGTGTATTAGTTCCATTTCTGTCATCTTCCAGGACAGTGCGAGCATCCCAGACCCTCCAAGTCCTCGCACCCTTTCTCCAGGTACCTGTCCTGGCTCTTCCTCCCCCCGCCCCCCCGGGGTCACGCCCTCACTGCTCATGGCTATTTCCACCTACGAAATCTTTTCCTGGCTTTTCTTTCTGGGCTTTCATCCCAAAGCGTCCGTTTCTCCGTGAAGAACACAGCCTGTGGCAGAGTCTGTCGTGGTGCTTCCCGAAAGGCAGTTTTACTGGGTCACAGCCTTGCCTCTGTCACCACCCGCCAACTTCCGGGCCCCATCGCCCCTGCGAGAAGCCAGCTTCTGCATCACCACCATACCTTCCATGGAGTTCCATCTTCTGTCTGCTGTCAGATCTATGCGGCTTTGGTTTTTCAGACATTTTACCCTAAAATACCTGTTGGGGACTGAAGGTGTGTGTCCCCCAAATTCACATGCTGAAACCTGAGCCTCAGGTGTGATGGTGTCAGGAGGTGGGGCTCTGGGGGGCTGTGAGTGGAGCCCCCGTGATGGGATTAGTGCCCGTTCATGCTTCCCTCTCCGCTTGCTGCCAGGTGAGGATACAAGGCGTCCAGAGATGGGAATCCAAGAAAGGGCCTCCAGGGACCTGAGCGCATGGCCACTCTGATCGCAGGCCTCCAGCCTCCGGGACTGTGAGGCACGCATCCCCGCTGTTCACAAGCCGCCCCGTCTATGCTCTTTCTGTACAGCGGCCTGAACAGACCAGGACCACACTGAAGTGCAATTTTCTTTGTATTAATTATTCCACTTGGAGATCATGGGCGTCGAGTCGATGCCTGGATGTCTGCCGTCAATGCTTGGAATATCTTCTGCCACTATCTTTTCAAATATTACTCCTGCTCCATTTCACCCCCTCACATTCCAGACGCGCAGACGTCAGAACTCCTTGCTACTTCTCCCACGCCTGATACTCTTCCTTTTGCATCTTCCTTCTGTTTATCTCCTGGGGCTTTAGCCTGAATATTTCTTCTGGTATTTTCTGCTTCACTAAACCTCTCTTCAACTGTGTCTAATCTGTAGAAAGATCTACCCACTGAGCTCTTTCTTTTGTTTGTCACATTTTTCAGTCCTAAATTGCTCAGTTCTTTTTTATTCTTCTAATTCTGTCAAAATATTGTCTTCAAAGTGCTTAAACACAGCGAGCATAGTTACTAGAATATCTGTCTGATAACTCTGTCAGCTGGAGCCACTCTGTCACCTGGAGCCACTATGGGTCATTATTGTCCTCTGGTTCTGGCTTTTGTGTACCTTGTCTCATCCCCACTGGGTGCTCAGTTATTTTTAGCTGAGTGCTAGACAGTGTGTATAAGACAGGACAGGGTGATTTGAGGCTTCCTGAGATACTCTCTCCATCGAGAAGATTCACAGTTGCTTCTGGCAGGTGGTTAGGGACATCAGACACATGGCATCACCTTAATCCATGTAGAGAGGGTGGCATTATTCAAAGACTGGCATTGGTTTCTGTAAGGACTTACCAACTAAGTGACTCAGCGTCTCGCACAGACCCTTCTCCCTGCCTCCCCCTGGGGAGGGTCCAGTGGCTGTGACCGGCACAGGACCCCAGGACTCTGGGGGATGGGCCATGCTGATGACAGCAGTGAGCCGTGTCCTCACGGTGGGAGCACTCGAGACTCTGTAGTCAGCATGAACTCACACTACCTCACAGAATACTGAGACAACCCTATCGTCACCCCATTTTCCAGAGCAGCAAACCTCACAGAGGTCATGTGACTTGTCCCAAAGCATCGGCCGGTAATAGGAGCCTTGATTTCAACCATAACCCAGGGCAGCCATGCTCCTACCTAGGAAGCCAGTTTTCACTCCTTTCTGGACATCAACTCTCCCATGCAGCAAAGGGGGTGTAGTCGCACGGCTCAGCGCCCCTATCTGTAAAGTGGGGACAAGGATGGTACCTGCCTCCAGATGTTTTGAGGGTCGGAGGAGTGGCCACCTCTTAGGGCAGGGCCTGGCTGGGGTCCTGAGAGGTCAGGACAAGGAGCTCTGGGTGTGAATGTAAGAGGCAGTGGGGAGCCAGCAGGTGACGTGGGTCAGTAGAGGAGGGCTGGGCGGGGAGCCGCAGGGACTCTGCCGCCATGTTTCACACACTCAGGGGCGCCGTCCCCACAGCACCCTGCAGCTGGACCCCCAGGAGGGTCAGGGACGCGGACTCCCTGGCTCCCGCTGGGTGCTTGCTGGGCGAGCCTGCCGTGGGGCCGGAGAGACGCAGGTACCTGGGACTAATTGGAATCACGTTCCAAGGGGACCTCGGATTAATTGCATCAGAAATCGCTTCATTAACATGCCTAACAAAAGGTGTCGTTATGTTTCCCATTAGTGTCTTTCATCTGCGGCCTTGGCAGGCCCTGAAGAGCTCTACCCTCTGCTCGCAGGCTCCTGCTTTCCACACTGCAATCAGGGCCCTGAGCCTTGACCCTGCGGCCCGGCGCCTGAGGGAAGGGCCGCCGCCCGGGCCGCCTTGCTCGTTGCTTTCTCCCCAAACGGGGCTCCTCCTCCTTGTTCAGGAAAGGATGGAAAACCACGTCCGTCTGTCTTGGGGTCTGTAGCATCCACACAGTGAGGCTCGCGACTTTCCAGGGCGCCCGTGTTGGACATGTTCCCATGCCCAGTTCAGTTCACCCAGGAGGGCACCTGACACCCGTCCCGCAGATCAGCTCATCCCCCAGGAGGGGAAAGCTACCCGCCCACGGCACCACTCTCTCTCTCTTTTTTAAGTTTATTTATTTTGAGAGACACACAGAGAGAGGGCAAGCAGGAGAAGGGCAGAGAGCAAGGGAGAGAGTCTCAGGCAGGCTCCGTGCTGACAGCGCAGGGCCCGATGCGGGGCTCCGACCCACAAGCCATGAGATCCTGACCTGAGCTGAAACCGAGAGTCGGACGCTTAACTGACTGACCACCCAGGTGCCCTGCCGCTTTCTCTTTTTAAACATAAACCACTTCCTCTTTGTTTAAAAAACCAGATAAGGGTCCCTGGGCGGCTTAGTCAGTTGAGTGTCTGGCTTCAGCTCAGGTCATGATCTCACGGTTCGGGGGTTCGAGCCCCGCGTCGGGCTCTGTGCTGACAGCTCGGAGCCTGGAGCTGCTTCAGATTCTGTCTCCCCCTCTCTCTGCCCCTCCCCTGCTCACGCTGTCTCTCTCGCTCTCAAAAATAAATTTTAAAAAACATTAAAAAAATTAAAAAAAAAAACAGATGAAACAAAACACAGGCCCCGTTTTCCCAAAGTCAGTTCCTTGGAACACCTGTCTTGCCCACTGTCTGCCTGAGGCTCTGGGCAAATCACAGAAAGTCGTCTGACCAGCTTGGCTTAACCCTTTGCCTTCCAGGGCCTCTTCCTGAGGGACTGCCCGGGGACGCAGTCCTTTGCTAACGCGCCAAACACGTTGCATCAGGAGGATTCGACGGTGAGGGTCTCAGTCCAGCCCCACTGGCTGACGCCCGGGGGGCGCAGGGGCTGCCTCGGGGGCCAACCCGGTGGGAGCTTCCCGCGAACCCGGCAGCCCCAGGCCCGAGGCCAGTGCCTGGGCAGGAGAATTTGGGGTGCCCGGTGAGAAACGGAAACACGGAGCCTCGGTTTTAAGGAGCACTCAAGACTTCCAGGAGGGTGAGGGCGTGCGCGAGGCTGGCGTCCCTTGGGGAGGCGGCCGCCTGAGGGTCCTCCCGGCCGGCACGGCCCGCTGGCGCGCCCCATCCTCAGGGACGCTCTGCAGAGGCCATGCCACACCGGCCTCGAGGGGAAGGCCGCTCACCACACGCCCGCGTGGGGTCACGTCTTACCTTGTGTGCGGCGTGCGCCGACGAGGGCTGGGCCACCAGCAGCCGCACCACAGCGTCCCATCGCTCGGCGGTCTGGCCATCCCACGCGGTCACGGTGAAGGCCACCTGGTCGGAGGGGATGCGCAGCTCCCGGGTGGCAAAGACCGTCCCGTCCGCCCTCACTTTGAAGTCCACGCTGTTGGTCTCATACTGGGTCCCCTTGGCCCCCAGACAGCTGCTGAAGGAGACTGCAAGCAGAGGGGAGGAGGGGGTCAGGACCCGCCCGGCGCCGGGGCGTCGTGCGGGGCAGCGGGTTCTGGGGGGTAACGATTTAACTGACTTGTGGGCCTTCAGGGAATGTGCTTTACCTCCACCCCCCAGGGACGTAGCCGTCCGACTTGGAAGAAGGGAACAGGGAAGCAAAGGAGGCATTGTTCTCACATGGAATCCGCCGCCCCGCCTGCTGCTCTCCACCTCTGCACACCACCCCTCTCCACCTCTGCACGCCACCCCCCTTCCACCTCTGCACACCACCTCCCTCTCCAACTCTGCACACCACCCCTCTCCACCTCTGCACGCCACACCCCCTCCACCTCTGCACACCACCTCCCTCTCCAACTCTGCACACCACCCCCCCTCCACCTCTGCACACCACTCCTCTCCATCTCTGCACACCACCTCCCTCTCCACCTCTGCACACCGCCCCTCTCCACCTCTGCATACCACCCCCCTCCACCTCTGCACACCACCCCCCTCCACCTCTGCACACCACCTCCCTCTCCACCTCTGCACACCAGTCCCCTCCACCTCTGCACACCAGTCCCCTCCACCTCTGCACACCAGTCCTCTCCATCTCTGCACACCACCCCTCTCTACCTCTGCACACCACCCCTTTCTCCACCTCTGCACACCACCCCACCTCCACCTCTGCACACCAGTCCCCTCACCTCTGCACACCAGTCCTCTCCATCTCTGCACACCACCCCCCTCCACCTCTGCACACCACCCCCCTCTCCACCTCTGCACACCTGTCTGGTCTCCCCTGTCACTGTGTCTGGATCCGTCCCGGGTCCGTTAGTGGCGCCGAGGGTATGCTCTACCCCAAAACAATGTCGCCCGACCCCACTCACAGCCTGCAAACCGCGTGCCCCCAGTGCCCTCCAGAGCCCCGAGCCGTCTGTTTCGCACCCCAGGACCGCGGAGTTTGGGGAAAGAGCAGGGGAAGGTGGGTTCTGAGTGAGGCTCCCGTGTACTGAGTTCCCCGGTGCATGTTATTACTCAGGGTTCCACCCTGACCCGCCTGCGCCCTGTCGGGGCCAGCGATGGCCTCCGGGTGACCGGGACACTGGGCGGCCACGGCAGCCGGCGTGCTGACGCCGTGGCCTGCGGGCAGCTCTGCCTCCTGGACACGAATTAGGCCCCCGGGCGCCCGCCCCCCTAGCGCCTCTGTCGCCGGCCATTTGTGACTCCGCGGCGGGAAGAGACATCTCGGGAGCCGCGCCTTCGCGGGGCCCAGTTAGCGCGTTTTTTATACGGCGGCTCCTGCAGCTGCTGCCGGCGCCGTGGTAAGTTACAAGGCCCCGGCAGCCGGTGTCACGTTCTGCTGATAAAAACGATGGACCAAGTTACATAGTATTCATAAAAGTGTGGGCATCTCCGCGACTGCGGTGGGAGGACCACTTTTTTAAGCAATTTCACCGTCACCGTGTACGTGATTTAATTACTATTTATTCCAGAAACTAAAAAAAGCATTTCAAGGTTACGCTTGATGAAGTGTTTCCCCCTGTGTTCACCTTTTACTGTTGCTTTGCCTGAAAGCGTAAATAACGCGGGCGCTCACCCTACGCACCTCACCTGAGACGCCCCCAGGGGGCAGCCCCTCCTGCCCGTGGGGTTAGTATAACAAGGTTTTCAAATGGGACAAGGCCAGGCGTTTGCGCCCAGTCTGGCCAGAGGAGGCGGGAGGCCGTGTGCAGGCCCCAGGGACACAGACAGCGAGGGTGCCCAGGGTGCCGGCGTGGCGTGGCTCCGTGGAGACATGTCCCCCGAATGGGGGGCGGGGGAATAACTGCACTTCGTTTCAAATGACAAGAAGATTCCAGGCTGCTTTTACAGGACCATTCGCCCCCATGGCAAACAAATGAAAAGCGGCAACAAACTGAGCTGGATCAATCATTCCTGACACCCAATTGTCACCAACAGAGATAAAATGACAGCCCTGCGAATGTTGGGAGATTAGCACAAAATACATAAATAAGCCCCTTTGTTCTCTGAAAGCAGGTTTCTACTAACACTAACGGATTGGACATAGAGGGTCTGCACTTCTTCAAGCCTGCGCGGCGACGCTGCATGTGTGGGTGACGTGGAGGGAGACTCAGAGTGCTGTCCCCACAGGCCCTTCGGATGGCACGTGTCCCTGGGGGACGGGACCCTCCAGGACACCACAGTGGCACCAGGCAGAGCCCTGTGACCTGCAGTTTGCCAGCAAGCAAGCCCGTGGGGCCAACGGAGGGCTGCCCCACACGGGTGTCCACGATTCCCTCGTGGGTGTTAAAGTGGACGTGGTTCCGGTGTCACAGGGCCCCGGCCAGTCCTGAGAGGGCAGTGCTGTGGGTCCTGAGGACCCTTCTGGGCCCACGGAGAAGCCTGGCTGTAGCCATCTGTCACCTGGCTTGCCCTCTGGGAGGGGTCACCCCTGATAGCATGGTGCTTACGTGGGAAGCACAGACGGGTACCGAGTCTGCAGCCTGGGCCCCTGGACACGGCATGCGGGGCGGGGAGCCGCACGGGGCTTCTGTCTCTGGGCATCAGGGCTCGGAGGGCTCCTGTGCCCATGGGTCCTGCGCAGGCCAGGCCGGGAAGGGGGGCCGAGAATGGCCTCCACCCTGGCTGGATTTCCAGACTGGCTCAGGACGGGCACCCAAGATGCAGGTTTTTAGCAGGGTCCTCCCACCCAGCGGGATGAGGCTGGAGCCCAGGCCCGGGCAGCTTCTGCCTCTCACTTACGTCCACCTGGACGGCCGAGCATCTGAGGACGGGGCCGCTGTCCTGGCTTCCCACCGTGCCCCTGGGGCTGAGGACAGCGCTGGCACTAGTTGCTCTGACAGGAGGCAGAGCCTCCCCACAGCGCTCCCCCCGCCCCTGCTTTGGGCAGCGATGGGGACGGCTGGGGTCGGCCCAGAAAAAATTTAAATTCCCACAAGATTCTGTACGACACGTTTCCCTCAATGTTGATAAAACCAACAAACACAGAGAAACTCCTGCTCGGAGTAAATTCGGGTGGCGCATCCAGCCTGCCTCAGACCAGGGTGCCGGGTGGTCTGCTGGGCATGGCGGCTCCTGCTCCGGAGGGAGGCACGGTGGGCGGCAGCACTGTCCCCACTCTGCAGATGGGGAAACCAAGGCCCAGAGACGCTCGCACCTCCTTGAAGCTGCAGGCACAGGGCGCTGACGGGGAGACCGTCCTACGACGGCCTGTGCATGTCTCCATCTCGAGCACAAACTGTGCTGCTGGGTGGTACTTGCACCTGATCACGGAGGCTGCGCCCCCCCCCCCCGCCCCCCTAGGGAGGCCTGGACTCTACAGGTGGGAAGGGGGTCTACACCAGCAGCCCCTCTGGGGCCAAGCGGCCCAGCCAGCTGCGAGCGGAAAGGGCGTCCCCCGCCCCCGGGATCCCTGGCCGAGGCCTGCGCTTCCGCTGCGCTGGGCCCCCTCCTCCAGCCCCGCCTGCTGCACACGGCTCTCTGCGGCTTGCTCATTATTTCCGTTAGTTTTAAACAGACTTGACAAGAGACAGGAGTCCTGAGAGGCATGAAAAACAACCGTCTAAGTACAGACGGCCACGGCCCCACCACCTGCTCGCCCCGTGGCACAGCCAGTGTGGCGGTGGGGGGGGAGGGCCGGTGTGGGCTCTGGGGGCAGGACTCTGCTGCCTTGAGGATCCTCCCCGTGAACATCTGGCCGACCCTGTGCCGCAAACACCTGAGATCGCCAATGCCACGTGTGCGTGGGGAGGCTGGGCCACGTCCACATCCACATCCGTCCAGGCCCCTCTGGGCCAGGGCCTGAACCCAGGGCTGTGCTGGGCAAGCAGTGGCCTCTCAGAGCATCGGCTCTGTCCCTGCTGTGGCCGGGATGAGCCTTACCAGGCTCAGGGTAAAGCCCGCTTGCCTTACGCTGTGGCCCATTCGAAGAGACAGGTCCGGGGGGAGCAGAGGCTCCCAGCCAAGGGTCACTCATCCCACAAACACCTGTGGCCTCCGTTGCGTGGCACTGGGAGCCACCTGGGTGTAACAGAGCGGAGGCCTGTGTGTGGGAGACCGGAAAATGACAATCTGGCTGGCTGTGCGGCCACTAAGGGGCCCCAGACCAGGCCGGGGGGTCCCCAGGGTGGGGCTGGGAGCCCAGCAGGATGGGTGGGCCAGCCAGCACTCGGGATTCTGACCCTGTGGGATCTGCGTCCACACCCGGGGCCCCAATGTCCCTCCCCCACCCAGGTATGGAAGCAGCAGCTCTCTGTGTCCGGCTGTGGAGGCGGGTGGGGCCTGGGCAAGCCCAAGTCTCTGTCCTGAGAAGAGGCCAGAGAAGAAAGTCCGCCGTTCTGCTCACCACCCGCCGGTGCCCCCCCGCGCCTGACGCGTGTGTCAACACTGAGCTGGTGGCGGCTGCGTCAAAGGCTACTCGAGGCTCTTCAGTGCAACAGGAGACCCCTGGCGGGACCCAGGGGTGGGCTGCACACAGAAAATGTGACAGCCACCTCCCTGTTCCCCCCTCGCCAGAGGTTGGCGACGCAGAGCGTGGTGTGATCGGCATTCGGGGCTTGTCGTCCGCTGGCTGGGCCGCCGCTGGTCCAGGCTGCACCTGCCCGGACATCTGTCACGGACGCAGGTTTCCTCTGCGCCGTACAAATGTCAGTCTCTGCCGCCCCGCTGTTTTGGCTGACACCCCCTCGGAGGGGCTGTCGCAGAGGTTGGTGGAATTTCCGTGGCCTCGCCTGTCTGCTCCGTCTCCCGGGAGCCACGTGTGCTCTATGAGAAGACCTCACCCTACGGCAGAGGTGGCTCTGCACACGCAGAGTGTGGACGCCAAGTCCGCTCACTCATCCTATTACCAGACACGGTTCACTCAGAGACACAACAGGCACCAAAGCCAAACACGGTCGCTACCAGGCAGACGCTAGAGTGTGGGGTGGGTCAGAAACTAACCAAGTCATTACATCAGAAAGCTAACACTCCCCAGGGAAGCGTG